GAAATGAATTGAGTTTTAGCTATCTGTTATCCTAGTAGTTTAACTTCATCTTAAAATAATTGATTAGTGGTGATTTATTAGGCAAGCTAAAAGTAATTAATATCCGTAAAAAGTCATGTGAAAATTATTAAAAATTATCAAGGAATCTTGATTAATTTGTAACATTTTGGTGGTATACCTGCAGACTGCAGAACAATACACCCAAAGTAAGCAAAGGGTGACACCCTCTGTACCCTTTCAGGGGTAATTATAAATCTATGAGACTGAAAGGCTTGTTGACTGAAAAGCTTGTTAAAACTTGGGCATTAATAAGGAAAGTTTGGTGTAGTAGGACAACTGCAAAGTTTATCATCCATACAATAAATTATTTTTGTCTGGGAACATTTCTGACTAACAAGTTTAGTAGTGTGATGAACAAAATTTCGGCACATGGTAAGAAACATTCCTCCTTAAAGGATCATAATAGGGAAAACGGGAAATACTGATTTAATGAGATGACCATATCCAAATTCAAACTCAAACAAAGTTAATTATAGTTCTAAGAGTCTTTTACCTCAAGCAGTAAGTTTCACTGATTATGGCTTAAAGCCAGATACAGTTAATTATTTTCATAGAAGTGCAATAATCAATAAAGATTTACTAGGACTCACATATATATAAGAAATTTTACTTAACATCCTTTCTTTCCCACATTTAACCTTGTCTTGGTGAAAAAGCCAATTATTAGAAATTATTTATATAAAGTTGCAATTTCTGTCTTAGCTTTAAAACAGTAACTTCAAATAACTTAGTTAACAATTTTGGTAATTGTCATGAGTGACAGTTAAATTATTTTAGCTCTAAGCTGTTCTTTTAATCATAGGTAAAGATAGAAATACCTGATTTTCTAAATGATAGTTATAAAACATCATAGAACAAGATTAACCGGACTTGATAAAATAATTTAGCTGGATTTACACAGTTATCTCACTACCTTTCAGTTTCTTTTAGTTCACGTTTTAATAACATCAAAATTATTAAAAATTGCTTGACATAACACATAAAAGTGTACCAATTTGTAATGAGACTAGATTTTTAAAATTGAAACATGCATATTACTAATGTAATGAACTAAATTATCTTTAGATTGTATTCCAATACTTAAAAACTTTTCTTTTTGATTTGAAGAGGAAAACTGTCCTCCTTATCTCCTCCTTCTTTCTCCCCCACCCCAACCTGGCCAGGGTTGGAATTCGAGAGAAAGGAAGAGAATATTTTTCAACATAATCTTTCAATCTTACACCCAAAGCTTTGGCCAGAGCTTTAGAATGCAAAAAAGAAAGAGAATTTTTTCTCCAAAAGTTTCCAAATCTTTTACTCTCAAATCATCTATTCCTGCTATTCATGCAAACAGATTATATTATTCTTTCCACCCATACTTTTCTTATTCCTGTATGTTTAAACTTTCTTGCCTTTTATCAAATTATATAACCTAAATAATGACGTACTTTTTCTCCCATTCTCTCCCCCATCCACCTGCTCCCGGGAAATGCAGCTGGTATTAGGGAGGGGAAAGGGGAGAAAGTCACTAACAGCATTTCAGAATCCAGTTGCAGCCCTTGGCTGCCTGGCAGTAAAAGATTAAACAAATCACAGACATTAATCACAGACCATCATTCACACAGACACAAACAAACATAGAAAAAAATGACAGGGAGAATCCAAAAGCGAGAAACTTGTCAGAAATTCTTTACAAAAATGAAATAATACTATTTTCATTTTATTTTATCTTTTCTTTTCATGGTATTCTAAAACCAGGCAAAATCTTTCTTAAGGTTTTGGTTTTTATAAAAGGAAACTTTTTCACTTTGTAATGCTCCACAATGTCCACATAGTGCTGTGACTACACTTTCTTTTCTACTTCCCTTGGGGATTTTTGAAATTCCTCATGGCACATGGCGGGAGCTTCCTTTGTTCTCACAGCCCTACAAGCCCATTTTTATAAGATTAGATAGTGAAAGTACCCAGAGGAACTGATTTTGGCCTTTGGTGTTATAAAATTCTGTCGATTTTTCTCCCACTATTTTCCATTGTTCTAAATCTAAGTTCCCTTCTCTGGGGTGCCATGGAGATTTTATATCAATAATATCTAGAAACTCTCTTATTTTCTTAGGAGTTACCGAGCACCCCTGTTCCTCAATCACTGTATATATTACTCTAACATTCTGTTCCTTATCTGAGTTTACCTAGATTTTGCCTCATGAGAAGACTTTATCTTACCTCTCCGTACTTTTGTGCCACAGGATACGATTCGGAGACCTCTCACAAGGAGGCTGTCTGGCTCCAATAGACCTCGGTGTCTTGATGTGGGTGCCGCGTCTTCTTGGTCCAGACGTTTCCCGACTGTTTCATGCAGCTGTCTTACTCTCCGTATCTTCTTCACGGCAGCAGTGCAGCCCCATGTTGGGCGCCAGTTTGTTGTGCACAACTAGTTCACTTGGCTATAGAGTCTACCTAGGGCCTAGGATTCCCCAGTCACCTGATGAATCAAGACCAGCTTGATTTTCTATTTCGAATGCGCATTGATGAGGTGGGAGACAAGATGGAAGTAACTCCGTTTATTTTTAGCAAAGCACTTACTTATATAGTAAAGTAACAGGAACTCTTTCTCAAGTTACAATGGCGTATATAGCCCATGCTGTGCTCAAGGAGAGTGCATGCACGTCCTGTATGCACTTATCTGACTCCAATCCCAGAATACACTGCTAATGACCATACAATAACTAGGGGAGTTAAAGATTGTTAAAGATCTGTACAATGGAGCACCGAACCAGGCGACCTTTGCTCAGAGATCCGCCTGTCAGTGAGACCTCATGAACAGCCTGTGGCCCTCTACATCCTTACAGATCCACAACACAGACTTACATTCTAATGGGGGAGACAAGTACATATAAAAATATATGCAGCATAAATACACAAGGTTCATAAATACAAATATATACAAAGTAGTTAAATACAAAGTAGTTTGGGAGGGAGGGAACAAGCAGTTGGGGGATTTAGGAAAAGCTTCCTGCTTTTGGGAGTAGCCTCAGCTTCATCTTAAAGGAAGAGGATTCTTGAAGGGCTGACAGAGAAGGTGTATTTTATTTTTTATTTTTTGAGGTAATGGGGTTAAGTGACTTGCCCAGAGTCACACAGCTAGTGAGTGTTATGTGACTGAGACTGGATTTGAACTCAGGTCTTCCTGACTCCAAGGCCTGAACTCTATCCAATGTGTCACCTAGCTGCCCCCAGAGAAGGTGTATTCCTGGCATGAGTGAAAGCCAGTGCAAAGGCATGGAGATCAGAGACAGAGGAGGAACACAGAGAAGGACAATCTGACTGGATCAAAAATGCAGGACAGGGATTAAAGGCCATGTTGAATAGGGCTTTAAAAGCTAAACAAGGGAGCATATATTTTATCCTAGAAGCCGTGGAAGCCACTGGAGTTGGTTGAAAGAGTAATCAAGGACTTGAATGGTGAGAGGCTTGAGGAAGGGAGGTCAATGGTGAGGCTGTCACAAGGCAAGAGGGGTGAAGGGCTGAACTAAGAGGGGAGCTATATAAATGGAGAGAAGGAATCAGATGTGAGAGATGTGAAGGTGGAAATGAAAAGCTTTGGCAAGAATGGATGTGTGGGCTTACAGGACAGTTGTCCTGGTGCCTTTGTAGAGGATGTTTCATCACCAGGAGTTTCCTATACCAGTAAAATCATAGATACAAAGCACCATGTTGGGGCTACTCCTGCTCCCCTTCCACCCAAGAGTACAATTTAGCACAGAAGTAGCTTTTCAAAAGTGCAGATTTTTAGTTTATTCCCCTGCTGGGTGCCTGGGCCAGATTACAAAGAAGTCCTTTTGAATCTATTATTCAGTGTACCATCCATTCTTAAGAAAGGGATTTCAGAGATTGTATAGTTTTTTAGTTAGCATGTGGGGGGAATTATTTTCCTCTTTTCTTTTCAGACTGAATTTCCCTATCTTACTCAGGCTAAAAGTGCAGAAGCCACTCCGGGGCCAAATCCCCCTACTGATTAGCAAAGAAGTTCTGACCTGCTTCATTTCCTACCCAAATGCCTTCTTAGGCAGCCTAGTTGCTTCCTGCTCTTAGGGGCTCACCATATTCGTATCAACACGGGACTGACAGCCCTACTGGAGCTCTGAACTCCTGAACTTAAGCTATTCACCAGCCTCAGGGACTAAAGATGTGTGACATCAATCTATTTTTCGTTGTTTGGAATCCTAACAGATATCCCCATCTTATTGTTTAATGGCTAATCCCTAGAGAGATGATTAAATTCAGTACCTCATAACACCAATCCGAAAGCCTCTCTATAGGACTCTTTTCTCATTGGTGTAGATCCATGCCTTGCACTTGCATGAAGGGTGGGGTGGAGTTGGTGAAGGTTTTCTCTCTCTCCCTCTGTCTCTCTGCTGTCTGTCTTCCCTCACCTCCCATTTAGATATGGAAAGGAACTTTTAGGTTACATAATCTAACTCCCTCACTTGATAGCTAAGGGAAATTTAGGCACAGAGAAGGTAAGCAATCTGCCTGAAATCATACAGGTAATTAGTTAAGAGGGACAAAATTAGAACCCAACTTTTAATTCCAAGTGCAACACAGCATTACATTGGTATAAAGAACTCCATCTACCAATGAAGAAAAACTTTTCGGCAATTTACAATGTTAGAATTGCTGGTGTAATACTGCTAGGCTAAATAATCTGTCATGTGTACGTATGTGTGTCTGTACATTATTAGCCATGCACTAGATTTCATTCTCGTGTGTGTGTGTGTGTGTGTGTGTGTGTGTTTGTGTGTGTGTGTCCCCTTTCTTGGATTTGGCACCAGGCACCCGGCTCCCGCAGGCCCCGCCCACCGCACGCCCCTGCCCCGCCGGCCCCGCCCTTCTCACCCCCCCCCCGCGCGCCTCCCGGAAGCCGGGCCTGCCCGGGGCTGGGCTCCGCCCCCGCTGGAATGTAGCCCGAGCTCCTCCCCCCCCGACGCCCTGTCCGTGCTGCGGCTCCGGGCCGGTCGCCATGGCCGACAGTGAGGCTGGCTGCAGCAGCCCCGGCATGTCTCTGAGGGCCCTCAGTGACCGGAGCCGCCTAGAGGCGGCGATCCTGAGCGGCTGGAGGAGCTTCTGGCAGTCGGTGGGCAAGGAGAGGCCGGGGCCCGGCGCTACGGACGACGAGGAGGCCAGCGCCCTAACGAGGCTGCCGGTGGGTGAGGGAGGCCCGGCCCGCCAGTGCGCCTGCGCCCTGGGAAGGCGAGGAGGGGCGAGCCCCCGGCCCCAGCCTCTGACACCCGGATCCCGGCCCTCTGCTTGGAGTTGGGCGCTTTCGGTTCGGTTTTGCCCTGCGGGCTTCCTCTCTCCGGTCCCCGGCACTCCCCCAAGCCTGTCCCGTTTCTCTTAATTCACCAGCATTAATTAAGCACTTGCTGTGTGCCGGGTGCTGAGCTGGGCCCTTGGAGGCAAAGTGAAGCAGCCCCCAGCATTTTGTTGAACCCGGTTCTTCATCCGGCTCCGAGGCCAGCTATCTGTCCACCAGGCCACACTGCCTCGTGATTTACTGTTCATCAGTCCACCAGCACTGATTAAGTACTTACTCTATGCCAAGCACCGAGCCAAATGCTGGGGGTACAAAGATAATATGCGGCTAACATTTATATAGCGCCTACTATGTGCCAGGCACTGTGCTAAGCCGGTAGGTGCTGTTATCCCCATTTTGCAGGAGAGGAAACTGAGGCAAACAGAGGTTATGATTTGCAGCGATAATGATGGTGACAATGTTGACCATGGCCAACATATAGTGGCTACTATGTGCCTACTGTGCTAAATATTTTTTAATTATCTCATTTGATCCTTACAACAATCCTAGGAGGTTTTTGTTGTTTAGTCCTTTTCAGGCATGCCCAACTCTAAAGTGACCCCCATGTGGGGTTTTCTCGGCAAAGATATTGAAGTGGTTTGCCATTTCCTTTTCCAGCTTATTTTACAGATGAGGAAACTGAGGCAAATAGAAGTTGTAACCTGCCATGATTATGATGATGATAATTAGCATTTGTGTAGGCTTACTGTGTGCCAGGTACTGTGCTACACAATTTTCAGTTATCTCATTTGAACCTCACAACCACCCTGGGAGAGGGGTGCTATTATTTTCCCCATTTGATGGGTGAGGAAACTGAAGTCTTGACAGAAGTGAGGGAGAAGTGACTTGTACAGTGTCAGACAGCAAAGAAATGAAACCTTACTTTCAAGAAGCTGACATTCTATTGGGAAAAACACAATAGGTCCCCAGACATACGCCCAACAAACACAACATCTACATTCCAGGCGTCTCTGCTCTTAGACACAGAAGTTTCTACAAGAGAGGCTTTTGAAACGGCGGTTACCTAAGTATTTGTATAAGAAATAGCTAATAGTTATATGGTTTTAAGGTTTACAAAGTACTTTGTAAATAAGATTTCATTTAATTCTCCTTATAATCCTTTGAGGTAGTTTCTGTGAATAGATATATTACTGATAAGTAAACTGAGGCCCAGATGTTAAGTGACTTGCCCAGGATCACCCAGTATCAAAGAAGCAAGTTTTGGACTTTGCTCTTCCTGATGACAAGCCCTGTACTATCTACTAAGCAACACTGACCTCACTCAGAGTAAATACAAGGAAGTTAGGGAGAGCAGTAGTAATTAGGAAGATCCAGAAAGAACTCTGTAGCAGATGGTGCTTAAGCTTGGCCTTGAAAGAAGTGAGATTGTTTAAGGCTGAGATAAGAAGGGAGAGTATTTCATTTAAAAATAGAATTTTTAAAGGCGACTGGGGTTAAGTGACTTGCCCAGGGTTACACAGCTAGTAAGTGTCCAGGGCAGATTTGAACTCAGGTCTTCCTGACTTTAGGGCTGGTTCTCTATCCACTGCGCCATGTAGCTGCCCTAAGGGAGAATATTTCAAACATAGAGGAAAGACATTGCAAAGGAAAGAGGGAGTTGTGTGTGTGAAGAACAGGGAGAAGAGCAGTTTGACTGAACCCTAGGGTGCAGGAGAGGGAGTGTACTCTTATCTTGACTTCCTGGCTTCCCTGGCTTCCTAATGTTCCAGCTAAAATCTTACCTTGGAGTCAAGACATTAGCCATCGTGATGTCATTGGTCTTCTTCAAAAATGAAGGATGGGGGCAGCTAGGTGGCACAATGGATAGAGCACCGGCCCTAGATCCAGGAGGACCTGAGTTCAAATGCGGCCTCAGATACATAACACCAGCTGTGTAACCCTGTGCAAGTCACTTACCCCATTGCCAGCGGAAAAAAAAAAAAGGATGAATAACAAAATCCCACCTTCTACAGGAAACCTTTCCTGATTCCCATTAATTCTAATTCCTTCCCTCTGTTGATTTCCCACAGTTTTTCCTATATATAGCTTGTTTGTACATAATTGTTTGCATATTGTGCCCCCCATTGGACTGTGAGCTTCTGGAGAGTGGATACTGTCTTTTGCATTTCTTTGTTTATCCTTATTGCTTAGCATGATGGCTGGCACCCAGTAGGAATTTTAATAAATGTTCATTGACTGTCCCAAAAGTCTTAGAAGTTTTAAGATTTAATAACTTATACAGGACAACTTGATTAATGAGTTTGGAAACAAAGTTTGGGACCATATTTTAAAGAGTTTTAAAAAACAAATAGAGGTTTATATTTTATCCTAGAGGTGAGAGAGCAACTGTATTTTGCTGAATAGGGTGTGAATGGTCAGATCTATACTTAAAGAATGTGACTTTAAGCAGCTAGGTTTTGATGTATTAGAATAGGGAGAAACTTGAGGTAGGAAGACCAAGTAGGAGGCCATGCAATGGTCTAGGCAAGAAGTAATGAGAACCTGAATTAAGTTGGTAGATGCACAAGTAATGAGAGCAGAACAGATGACAAGATTTGAAAACTGGTTTGGATATGTGGAGTGAGAAAGTAAGTTGAGAATAATGCTGAGGTTTTAAACCTGGTTGGGAGCCTGAAAGAATGATGGTGCCCTTGACAGAGACAGGGAAATTGGATAGAGGGGTGGATTTAGGGAAAAAGATAATGAGTTCAGTTTTGGACATGTTGAATTTGATACATTTTCTGTGACATGAAATTTTCAATAGAATGATGCAGAAGTGAAGCTAAGGAAAAAGGTTATGGCTATGTGTGACACACACACACACACACACACACACACACAGAGGTTTGGGATTCCTTGGTATAGACAAATAAGAAAAAGCGCTATAAAACTGTGCATACCCTTTGATTCAGAAATACCACCAAGAGATCAGAGAAAAAGGGAAAGGAGATATCTATATATATATATATAATATATATATATATATATATATATATATATATATATAGATATAGATATAGATATAGATATAGATATAGATATAGATATAGATATAGATATAGATATATGTCTATATAGATATATATGTCTATATAGATATATATGTATACACACACATACAGAAATGTTTATAGCAGCTATATTTCTGGTGGCAAAGAATTGGAAATTGAGGGTATGCTCATCAGTTGGAGAATAGCTGAACAAGTTGCGATATAGGGTTGTGATAGAATACTATTGTTATATAAGAATGACAGGTAGGATGCTTTCAGAAAATTCTGAAAAGACTTACATGAACTGATGCAAAGTTAAATGAGTAGAATCTCTTCTCTCCTGCCCTCTGCTTTCCTCTTTCCTTTCTCCTTCTTCTTTTCTCATCTCCGTCTCCTCATTCCTTTCCTACTGCCTCCAAACCTGTCTACATCTACCTCATTGTTAAAAACCTCTTCATTATACCCTCTCATCCCTTCAAGCTGTCATTTTATATTTCTTCTTTTCTTAAATTCCTCAAAAAGATGTCATGGTTCCCTACCTTCAATTTTTCTCCTGTTAGTCTTTAACCCTTTGCAGTCTAACTTCTGATCTCATCATACAAATGAAACTTATCTCTCCAAAGTTACCAGCAATCTCTTAGCTGCAAAATCTGATGATCTTTTTTTTCCTTAACTGCCTCATATAGCACCTTTTGCTCTCTCTCCAGTCTGGATTTTGGTGACACTGCTTTTTTTTTTGTTTTCTTCCCTCTTATCTGATTGGCTCCTTCTTGGTCTCCTTTGCTGATTCAACATCTATATAATATTACCTAACTGGATGTTTCCTGAGGTTATATCCTAGGCCCTCTTCTCATTCTATATTCTCTCATCAGCTCTCATACATTTAATTATCTTCTTTATGCAGATCACTGTAAGATTTATAGGTCTAAACCCAGTCTTTGTCCTGAGTGCCAATCCTGTGTCACTGATTGCCTGTTGGACATTTTAAATTGGACTTCCCAGCTAAACCCAGTCTCTATCCTGAATGCCAGTCCTGTATCACTGATGGCGTATTGGGCGTTTTAAATTGGACTTCCCAGAGACATCTTAAAACTCAGCATATTTCAAGATAAAAGTCGTTATCTTCTCCCCTCCCGCCACTTATCTTACCACCCTCCACCCTTTTAAACTTCCCTGTTTCTGTCAAAATTGCCACCATCCTTCCAATCTCCAATTTTATAGCCTTGGTCTTATAAGGATATCAAGGGATGACCCACCCAAATATCATTCAGTGGCCAAATTTTCTGTTTCTACTCACACAACATCTCTTGCATCCAGCCCCTTCTCTTTTGTCACAAGCTACCATCTTAGTTCATGCCTCATCACTTCTGTAGATTATCATGACATACTCTTTTAATTGGTTTACTTGCCTTAAGTCTCTGACCACTCTGCTCCATCCTACACACTGCTGCTAAAGTAATTTTCCTTCGGTGCACATCTGACCATGTTACAGTCCTACCCAGTCAACTTCGTTGGCTCCTGTGCCTCTAGGATAAAATATAAAATCTTCTGTTTGGCTTTTAAAGCCCGTTATAATCTTTCCAAGATTGTTGGATGTTACTCTGCCTGGTCTGTAATCCTGCCAGACTCTCCTTCCTCCTTCTTTTCGCCCAATACTCCCTCTCTCATCTCTGTGCCTTTGCACTAACTGTTACCCACACCAGGAATGCACTCCCTCACAGCATTCTTCTCTTCCTTTGTCATGAAGCTCAAACATCATCTTCCCCGAGAAACCTTTCCTGATTTCCTGATTTCTAGTGCTTTTCCTCCAAACTACCATGAATTTAGCTACTTTGTATATATTTATATTCTTTTACTTTATGTTTCTGCAATTTGTGATCCTATGTGTGCTTTCCTTCCTTCTTAGAAAGTGGTTCTTTGAAAGTATGGATTGTTCCTTCTCTGTATTTATATCCCTGGTACCAAGCCTGTCACATAGCTTAATAAACTTTTATTGATTGATTGATGATCTTGACCCTCTGAGAAAGTTATTATATTTGAACCAATCACTGCCTGAAAGATGGATCAGACTTCCATAAAATAGTAAATTAGATTTTTGGAAAGTAACTCAGATAATGGTCTTTTACAGAGTGGTTTTTAAAAAATAAAGTAATGTAGTGTTAAATCATAATCACCTGTTGACTTATTGTTGGATTTCTGCAAGAAAGACTTAACCAAAAAGTACTACAGTTTAAGGGTTGGAAAGACCTTTAATGAGAGTGAAATAATGACCAATTTTCTCCACTGAAGGCCAAAAAAAAAATAGACTTAAATCATAGAATGAGGGATTTGTGTTTGACTGTGATATGTTATAGTTTTACTATCACACCTACATGCTGGAGTGGATAGGAAAGTTGGCCTCGGAGTCAGGAAGCCCTGGATTCAAGCATTGCCTCTGATACATAATAGTTTTGTGATGTTCTGAAAGTCACTAAACCTCTCAATGCCCTCAGGTGATTCTCTAGGACCATGAGTTACCAATGCTGCAGCCTGTCAGCATCTGTGGAAGAGGTTTCCATACCAGGCAGTTGTTTATACCCTCTAGTGAATAAATGAAATTATAGCTATAGACCAAAACAAAAAAAAATCAACTTTAAGGATGAATGATGTTTGATGATCTTACAGTCTTATAATTTCTTGATTGTTTTGTAATTAGTTTTTTAATCAAGTACACATTATCTAGGCTATGATTTATTGAAGCTCCAATTTACCCACTTTCCTGTCCTTCTGTGTTTCAGATTTATGTGCAGTTGTACATTATGTCATTTCTTTCACCTCATGATCTGTTTGAACTGGGAAGGACAAGTCGATATTGGAATGTAACTGTGCGAGATCCTATGCTGTGGAAATTTTTTCTTTTGCGGGATCTTCCCTCTTGGTCATCTGTTGACTGGAAGTCTCTACCAGACCTACAAGCCTTAAAAAAACCGTTATCTGAGGTTATTGACAATGAACTTTATGACTATATGACAATGTAAGTATTCAGTTTCATAAAATTAAAACAAAACAGTGACTGCTGCTTCTGTGAAGGCAGTGGAGGATGATGCCAGATTTGGAGACAGAGGATTTGGGTGCCAATCCTGACTGCCATTTGCTGGGTGTGTGATTTTCAGCGAGTCACTTAAGTTCTGTGCACTTCAGTTTCCTCATTCATAAAATCAAAGTGTTCTATGGAAAGTCTTTTTCATCTCTAAATTTATGACCCCTTCCCTGGATCTCTTCCTTACCCCTGGAGAGTAGGTCCTGGTGGCAGACTAGGATGAGTCAGAGGAGGAAAGCTGTGTCTTTTCAGGATACCTGTGGTGGGGTGAATAAAGTCAGTCAAGCGCCAGAGTTTCAGCCATCTTAGATTCTAGTTCTCAGAGCTGGGTGTAGATTCTGGGACCTATACTGACCTCATCAGGCTGGAACAATTTTCATCAACAAATCTTGTACCACCTGCCTATCCTTAATCACTTAACTGTTTCCCATTTTCCATCCCAGTTTAATTTGACTTTCTTTTAGTGTGGGAGAGTATATGGAGCATTAGCTTGAGAGTTAGGTTTGGGCCTTTGCCACCAACAAGTTGTATGACCAGACTTCTTTTGATTTGTAGTATTTGAGAGTTCATGTACCCACTTTGTTTCCAGTTCTTTGCAACCATAAAAGTGCTACCATGAATATTTTGATACGTATTTAACTTTTATGTATTTGACTTCTAGGAGGTATGTGTGTATGTGTGTGTGTATGTTTGTGTATGCATATGCACATTCAGTAGTGGGATCATTGGGTCAAAGGTTATAAGCAGTTTTACACATAAATTTTCACATATAACTTTTCACGCATAATTCCAAATTGTTTTCCAGAACACAAATGGATCAAATCACAGTTCTTCTAACAGTATATTGGTTGTTATTCTACAGTCTCCCAAGTGTTGACTATTTCTGTTTTTTTGTTGTTGTTTGTTTTGTTGTTGTTTTGGTCATATTTCCCAACTTGCTAGATGTGAGATAATGGAGGATGACTTGTTGCTAACACCTGAAATATCTCTATTATATTTGTTTTTTAACTATTGATTTAACAAACATTGATTGGCAGACTTAAAATTCATCATGAGGCAGTCTCAGTGGTTTAATGAGAATGATAAAAGAAGATGAATTATTATAAGATGTTTTTCTTTTTTAATTTCTAGTTATGGCTGTCTTAAACAGGTATAAAATGAGCTGTCCACATACCAGAAGACATTTGAAATCCAGTCGCCACATGTATGGAGCTGTTGCCTCTTTTTTGCAGTCACTGATCCTTCAGACAGAACCTCGATTTGCTATGTTTGGACCCGGTTTGGAAGAGCTGAATGTATCTTTGGTGTTGAGCTTGATGTCTTGCATGGAACTTTCCCCAATGGCCGGTTTACCTCAGAGGCAAATTGATGGTAATTTCTACATTCATCTACGGTATATGAGAATTTGAATGCTTTGGGCTTGATACTGCCAGTGAGTAGGCAGAACATTTCATTATTTAATGGTGACTTAACTCTTTGAAACAAATAAGATAGATTAATTTGATGCTGTGGAACATCCAGTAGTACCAGTAAACTGAAAGTAATTCACCTCGAAAATATTGAGCTTTTTCTTAGAAGTTAATGAAAAGGATAACTTTGTATAATATAACCAAGGATTATGAAAAATTTACTGTTTAGCCGAGCATTTAATTTTTATAGTAGAGGTCATAGGTGTCGTAGTTTAGAAAGAGTTAGTAGCAACAAATATTTATTGAATTTTTTACTCTATGCAAATCATTTTACAAGGTGCTGGGGTTATAGTACCATATAAGACTTGGTTCTGACTCCTCTGGAGCCAATAGCTAACTGAGAATATAGGACATATACATAAAAAGATAAATAAGGTAGTGTGTGCTAAGTAGCAATTGAGTGATATTTGCTTCCTCACTCCAGCTCCTGTAGCAACAGTGAATGCAGTAGCTTGGAGTTGAGGGGCAACTGGAAGTGGAAAGACCAGTAAAGAGTAAATTTTAGGCAGTGATGAGAACCTGAACTAGGGTGACAGTAGTGAATAGGGAAAGGGATAAGAGATTTGAAAGAATTAGGAAGAAAGAATTGATAAGACTTGGTGATTAGATGTGGAGAACAAAGAGGAGGACTAGGGAGAAAGAGGTACCCAAGGTTTCAGGCTTAGGTATCTGGGGAAGTATTGTTGACAAAAGTGGGTAAGTCAGGAAGAGGAGCTGGCTTTTGGAGAAATGGGATGCTTAAGTTTTTAACATGTTGCATTCATGTGGAAATGTTAGGAGGTTAAAGATACAAGTCTGGATCTTAGGGGAGAGATTAGGGTTGGACATAGTGATTTACAGGAGGCATTTATATTGAGATGTTAGTTGACCTGGTGAGAATGGAAGAGATCTGTGAGGATAGAATGAAGGAAGAGGAATTTTGAAAAGGACTATCTCAAAATCCCTCTGTACGTCCTCCATTTTTCTCCTTCTCTCTAGCATCTGTTAAAGAGGTAACCTTTTCCCTTGCCAAGGCCGATTCATCTCATTGTGCCATTTATCTCATCCAATTCTGCCTCCTCTAGGATCTTGCCCTTCACTCATTTATATTTATTCTCTCTCCCTGACTCTCCACTGTGTCTCTCTCATCTTCAGTCTCTCCTTATCTTCTTCTTCACCTTTTTGAATTCCTAATTTCCATCAAAACCAAGTTCACAACTATAAAAAGACTTACATGAACTGGTGCTAAGTAAAAACAGATAAAAGAAAACAATAAACATGATGAATGCAACAATGTAAATGGGAAGAACAATAACTATAATACAGTTGAATGTGAAGGTTGTAGACTACAGAAGACAAATTTGGCTTCAAAGAAGGGGTATGAGAAGACACTTCCCCTTACTTCATTCCTTTGCAGAAATGAACCCACTAGTGTAGAACATTGTCACATTTATATATTGTCAATATATTATATATTGTCACATTTAAAAAAAATTGATCAGTTTTTCTGATTTTTCATCTTTTAACTCTCTTGGAAGGAGAAGGAGAGAGATTACAGGGGGAACTTAGGCAATGTAAAAACAAATTATATTAATGCAATTTTATTTTTGAAAAATACTTCAGTTCAGGCATTACCTTCTACATGAAGCCTTTTTTGATCCCCCCTCCCCTCAGCTGCTAGTGGTGTTCTTCCTCAAACTATCTTGTATGCATTTTATGTGTTTGTGTGTGTGTACGTATATATGTATATCCTGTACGTTTTTGTACAGAATATAAGTTTCTTGAGGGCAGGAGCTTTTGCGTTTGTCTCTGCATTTCCATTGCTTAGCACAGCGCGTAACACATTTGTTGTTATTCAGTCATTTAGTTATGTCCTGACTCTTCATGACTCCATGGACCATAGCACAACAATATTGTCCATGGGGTTTTCTTGGCAAAAAATACTGGAGTGGATTGCCATTTCCTTCTCCAGCATTTTAGCACATACTAGACAGTAAATGGTTGATTGATGTTCTAGGATTGAAGAAGTTTATTACTTTGCCACTGTTAATTGTACATGAAATGTAGAACTACTATTATAGCTTATAAAGTCATGATACATAATGTGAGCTTCCTAAACTTGAATATACCATGTTAGCAAAAACACCTCAATAATACTCTGGATTATGCAGACAACTAAGTTTCTCAATTGAGGCCAGTGCTCTATTCCCTCCTTTTCCTTTATTATCTAGGCAATTTAAAAAAAAAAAAGCAAAAGCAGGATTTTATTCTTGGCCAATCTGAATAAGAGAATCTATATAAAACCCACTTCAGAAGCAGGACTAAATGAGAACTTTTCACAGAATATCATATAATCACATTATCCAAATTAACCTGTCACTCATTATGTCCTTAAGAAAGCCATATTAAAAAAAATACACTTTCCCTCTTTCATTGCAAACAATAAAATGGCCAGTGTGATTTTTTTAAAGATAAGAAAATGCTTACTTTTGTGAGCTTCACCATTTGCAACATAGATGAACCCATCCACCACTTCACACACCTTCTGAATTTGTGGATTCACATGTATCGGCCCCTCTGTTCATCATTTCCAGGAATCTGGAATTTTAAAAATGGATGATGTATTAAGCTATTATGCTCCCTTGTGCATGAGAAGGGGTACATTCATGTGATGGATTGTTCATATAGTGAGAATGAAAGAAAATAGACAACAAACTGAGTATATTGGAACCTCCTGAAATAATAAAAGAACAAAGAGAAGGTCTTAGGTACATTAGAATGGATACTCTTTTGAGCATTTATGGGAAGATATAGACAAAAAATGCATAAACAGTTTGTGCTCCAATTTCATAGAAGTAGTACCTGTATCATTGAAATTATAGATCAACCAAGGCAAAGTAATACACTTTTTTTTAAAAAAGCTCCCTTGGATGTTGAAAGGTTAAAGGCCTAAAGTAGCCATTTATTTAAAAAGATGTTCGCTTGGCTGATGGGACAAAGGAGTGGATATTTTAGTAGGCACAGTATTCTTTGAAATGTAAATCAGATAAGTTATCTAGTAATTTGTGGATTCAGTAGCTTTGTACTAAGAAACAGACTTAAAAATAAAATTTCCCTAACAGTTGCAAAATAGGCACATATTTTTAAAATTTGGTAGTGATGCTGAGTCTAAAGAACAGTAGATTGGGAGTTGAAAAGAACAGAGTATCCTGGGTAAACACACTTAATAATTGTTTGACTGTGGGTAAATCACTTAACTTCTCTCAGTCTCAATTTCCTTATCTGTAAGATGGGGATAATAGCACTTCACAGGGTTATTATGAAACTCAAATGTGAAAATATATGTAAAGCACTTTGCAGACTTTAAAACACTATATGTGCTAGGTATTTTTTGTGTATGTATACACACACACACACACACACACACACACACACACATACACATATATATATAGGAGAAGGAAATGGCAAACCACTCCAGTAACTTTGCCAAGAATCCCCCCCCAAAAAATAAATTTTCATAATTTTGTTGTGTATTTGAAAGAAATAGCAAGTTGTTCATAGTAGACTTGCAGTTTCATATGCAGTCATCTTTTTAATTGTATGATGTTATAGAAATGCTTATTTTATTCCATTAATTAAAAAATAAAGTAAAATAAAACTGAAAAAAAAACCCACATGGGGTCATGGTGAATTAGACACAACTGAGCAACAAAAAACAAGTATACGTACATATACACTCATCTGTATGTATATAATATGTATATGTATATATGTATACACACACACACACACACACACATGAGCCATTATTATTACTTGGTACAATTTGGCACTACCTAGTTTTGTTTTGATTAGTTGGTGACCAGTGTTTCTGATTGATGTGTTTACAATAAAGGAAAATCATAGAATTCATGGATTATACTATCTATATTTCTATTCCCCAAACTACAAATATATATATGTAAAGATTCTCCTGAGTTTTGGTTCAGTTTTGATTGAGTTTTATTTCCAGGTATGAAATCAAATATACTTATAAAATCTATTTTACTAGTGGTCACTAATGGCCATATGGTCAAGGCAGATGCTTCTTAGGAAAATGAATAATCAGTTTTGGGAATGACTATATATGTGTAATAACTTGCAAATGGAATAATTCCTATTGGACATTAGCCAATCTTTAAACCATTTTTCATATAATACAACCCCACCAAAATCCTGATTTTTTTAGTTTAAGATAAAAAAATACAGAAAAATAATCTTGAACCTTTAATATAGGTTGGTACTTTTCAAACTGCTCACTCTTTAATAATATATATATATGTACACATACACACACACATATATATATATGTATACACATATACACATACACACATATATACATGTATATACCTATAAAAGAATTTTAGAGTGGTTTGAGTGGGAATATGTATATATTTTAAAATTAGTTACTTTACCTTTTATCAGAAATCTATGTAAACTTAGCTTAATGGCTTACATTAGCTTTTTGCTAGCAGGTAAAAGAATATTGTCTAAGGCTAATTGTCCCTTGTTGTTCTCTGTCCAGATTTTTAATACTGCATGAATGAAAGTCACATGCAGCCCCCCTTTTCTTCAGCTCAGGTATAATGTTTTATTCCAGAGCCATGCATAAAGAATTATCATTTGGCTCTTTTTGCTCTCACTAGGTGTTCTTTCAGTCTTTCTCTCCTGCGGTATTCAGTGATAAATTGTTTTGATTTTGTTTTCTTCTCCTTCAGGCATTGGATCAGGAATCAGTTTTCAGTTGAGCAATCAACATAAATTCAATATCCTGGTATTATATTCAACCACTAGGTAAGTATACTTATCTCGTGGCTTGCATGGAATCTGTACTGAGGCATTTTTATGGGTTAGGGCCCTGTTGAATCTTTTCTTGTGTGTTTTATCTTAAAAATTTTGTCTTTTAGGAAGGAAAGGGATAGAGCAAGAGAAGAGCAAACAAGTGCAGTCAACAAAATATTCAACAGGCCGATTCCTGGAAATGATGAACAGAGGGGCCAATGCAGTGTGATTCCACAAATTCAGAAGGTGTGTGAAGTGGTGGATGGGTTCATCTATGTTGCAAATGGTGAAGCTCACAAAAGTAAGCATTTTCTTATCTTTAAAAAAATCACACTGGCCATTTTATTGTTTGCAATGAAAGTGGAAAAGTGTATTTTTTAAATATGGCTTTCTTAAGGACATAATGAGTGACAGGTCAATTTGGATAATGTGATCATATGATATTCTGTGAAAAGTTCTTATTTAGTCCTGCTTCTGAAGTGGGTTTTATATAGATTCTCTTATTCAGATTGGCCAAGAATAAAATCCTGTTTTTGCTTTTTTTTTTTTTTAAATTTTAAATTGCCTAGATAATAAAGGAAAAAGAGGGAATAGAGCATTGGCCTCAATTGAGAAGCTTAGTTGTCTGCATAATCCAGATTTTCTACATAATTGTGAGCTTTTCTTTTTGTGTTATGTAACCCTGACGTTACAGTACGGATGACTTCAGGCTAGTTTATTAATTTCCTGTTTAACTAAGATGGAGAGTGACTAGACCTGTGATTTCACTGATAAAGAGAATTCCTGGTCAAGGAAATTTCCTTTCCCAGTGCAGGTCAATGCCTTCTTTGTAATTTATAGTCTTAGAGAATTGCTTAGAGCATTGAGAAATTAAATGACTTGCCCATATTTTCATTTCTAATTTCGGAGACCTTTTTTACAAAGGTGCTTTAGGTTCTTAACCAACTATAGACTAGAGATTTTGAGAGAGCTTATTTGTAAGATATTAATGAAAGTAGTAAGTACTAGAAAATAGAATATGTTATGAGAGGCTACATATCTAATAAAGGAAGAAATCTGAAAACTCTGAAGTTCTATATAAATGTTTGTCAATGTTATGTTTGGCTAGTAGAATTGGGCTCGTATCTGGTACAAAAGGCTATGGTAGCATTTGACTATTAAAGAAATGCTTTGTAAATATTGGTGTTCAGATAATTATCATTTATTTTCTACTGAGGTTATATCTATATAAGAGTCCTGAACTTATAATTTTAAAAATTATCTTAATTGTTCATTTCTATAAAATGAATTCATCCAATTTGGCCATAAAGAAAACACCTCTCTGCCCTGCTTTTTCCCCAGCTCAAACAGAGGCTTAGCTATTTTTTAATCTGATTTTTAAAATTCTGTCATGGGATGTATGTGATGATATAGTAGAAAGAACCCTGAACTTGGGTCAGGAAATCTGGGTTCACGCTCTGTGTCTTATATTTGCCAGGTGTTTGACTTCAAGTCTTTTCACCACTTTGAGTCTTGGTTTCTTCTATAAAATCAGTATTGTAATTGAACTCTCTATGTCACAGGGTTTTTCTGAGGAAAATACTTGATAAACTAAAAATATTTTATAAATGTGAGCTTTTATCTATTATTGACTGCAAATAGGACAGAGCAAAAAGTGATTAAATTGCTTCAGGAAAGACATACGTTCTGTTAGGACTCAGCTCAGATGCCACATCTTTTCTGAAGCTTTTCCTGGGCACTCCACCCAGAAGTGGTGCCTATAGTAATTGGTTTATTTAACTCTTAGGGAACTTAGCTCACACTGTCTCATATGTAGTTACTCATGTTCATGTTTCATGGTCCCCTCTAGATTGTTGAGATCAAAGACCCTGTCTTAATCATCTTTGTTTTCCATACAAACCTAGCACAAGGATTTGTGCAGTATATGCACTCTGCTTACCTGTCAAATGAGTGAAACAATGAAGAAATTAGGAAGACCATCCTAACTCAAAGAGTATGAAAAAGACTTGCTACTTCATGGTTATTTTTAAGAATAGAATAGACTACAGTTTCTATGATTTGATCTATGAAGCAAAGAGATGGACTGATTTATTTTTCAATGCTTCTTCTAGTCTAAGACTATTTATAGGCAGCCATTGATTTCCCCATTATGTTAAAACCCAGCAGTGAAAATGAACTTAGAAGTGCTTCAGTATCAAAAGCTATGTCTGCTTTTGTGTCCCTTGCAGCACCTTCTACAGTGTTTTGCACACAGTCAGTGCTATTCACACATTAGCGCTTGATATGTACTTGATGATTGAATGAATATGGAGTTATCTTGTTCAGCAGACTGGTTGGAAAAAGTCAAGACTGATGTTTAATTTTACTTCATTTTTGAGTGTATGGAGCCAAACAGTCAAAAGAAAGGAGAAAGAATAAAGGGAAATAGAACAAAATGATAGTATTAGAACTAGAAGAGACAGTGGAGATAATCTAGTTCTAGTTCTTCATTTTACAGATTAGAAAACTGAGGCATGGAGAAACTTTGCTTTGCATAAGGTTATAGAGCTTAGTGCCAAAGTCAGGAATAAAATCAAGACCTCCTGATTCTTAACCCAGTGTTCCTTCCAAATGAGAAAGAATAAAAAAGAAGTAGAAAAAAAAAAGAATGGGTATCCTAAATACCCTGTGGTAGCAAAGGGTACCATATTATTGAGGTCAGTGAAAATTTAAATTAGTTATAGGTTAGATCTTTAAAAAGATGAGCGACAACTTTAAGGAAATTTTGAATGACTTGAGTATTAGATTTATATTTGTAGATGAGTATTTGAGACATTTGCTTTGTAATTCTTTAGTTCCTCTTAAAAACTTGAAATCTCATAATCAATACATAAGCATTAATTAAGCACCTGTTGTGTGCTAAGCACTGTATTAGGCACTGGGCATATAAATGCAAAAAGTTAAATAATACTCTCAGGTATGCTTAGTACAATTTTGTCAGAATAGTAGCTGAATCTAGAGTATGAGCAATTTTCATATATTTTGTCTCATTGTGGTCGTTTTCCTCCCACAAAGGATGCAAATGTTTCCCCTTGTGTTCTTCAGGACATGAATGGCAAGATGAATTTTCTCACATTATGGCAATGACAGACTCAGCCTTTGGATCCCCAGAAAGACCTTTGCTGGTTTTATCTTGTATTTCCCAAGCCACTGTAAAAAGGATGCCTTGTCTTTATTTGGCACATGAGCTGAAACTAAGTGAACTTCAGCTGCCATGGATGGTAAGCTCTCTTTTTCCTATTTTCTATAATTGAATAGCATACTAAAGCCAGTTATAGAAGTCAAAAGCTACAGAATGCATTGATAATTTGGGATCCATGAAAATTTGTTTGAAGTGATCAACTGCTGATCCTCTTCACTAGTCTTCTATCTATATGAGGATATAGAAAAACAATAAAATAGCATTTCAGTTCAGCAAACATTTGTTAAGTACCTACTTTGTGCATGTATGAGGCAGTGTGTTAGGCTCACAGGAAATGTAGATACTTACGGAGACAGGAACTGTGATTTCATTAGCGTAGGGAACTCTAGGTGTGGAAACAACCTCTACCAATACACATTGCATCCCATCTATGACTTAACAGATTAACATAGATTATATATTTGAAAGGCTCCTTGTTTCCATTTTAATCCAGTAGCCTCATTTTATAATAAATGCTAGGGAATTGCCTAAAGCACATGGAAATTATGCAAGTTGTCTATTGTCACCCTGATAGCAAATGTCAGAGGCAACAGTCATAGGTTGGGTAATCATTTTGTTTTTTCAGCCTTCATCATTGAGATTTTTTAAGTAATACATTATTTTGTTAAAAGTACACACTCCATAATTTTGATAGCAGTATGGTTTGGTGGAAGGAATGCTGGATTAGGATTAGAGAACTTTTATTAAGATCCCAACTTTGTCACTTACTACCTGTATAACAAGTCACTTAATTTTTTTGGGCCTCACAAGAGTTTGCTTATTTGTTAAAAAAAAACACTAATATTGAGAGGGTTGGAGTAGATGGACATCTGAGTTTGCTTCTAACTCTGAATCTGTTAACCCTTGTGTCTCTTGTGAGTGACAGGTGTTTCAGTTCTTTCATATGTATTAGAAATGAAGTATCAAAAATACTTTTTGGTAATAATGTCATATTTCTTATCAACTGTAAGCTTTGTTTATTCAAGGCTTTTGGGGTAATTTTTTGGAATTCAAAGTGGACCCCTTTGGAATAATTTGTCTTGATTCATATAAGCCAGTAATGACTTGGAAATTTAGCAACTACCACATACCCCTTTAGTGTAATGCAATAAATTGTATGCATTAAATTAATAATAATTAATAAATTACATGCATTTAGATGGGCAACCTATTGAGTTAGTTTATGAATACATATATCTTGGGCAAACTACAGGTAGATAATGAGCAGGGCCTGAAACAATAAGAGGAATCAGTCTGGGTTGCATCAGGGAAATTGTGCATCATTTTTAATGATCTCAAGCTCCTCTCCTTTCTGACAGAAAAAAAAATCTGTCTTTCAACCAAGAAATCATTGTTTTGGTGATGCTGTATGGCTGTGCATCACCACAATTTCCAAAGAATCAGAATTGCAGATGACCCAAAGAATAATGAAGAGACACATGATAGGGATATATATAAGCTTATGGCATACTACTACCAAGGACCTACATGAAAGAAATACTATAAAAGCTACCATTCAGGAGAGGTAGGATCAGAAAAGGGGGCAGTCTGGACATGTAGTGAGAAGGAAGACTTAACAGATGGGCATACTGAGGAGAAAACAGGATAGACAAGCCTCTAGCTTGTTAGGTAGTTTCTATCTGGAGGATTTGTGGGAAGATAAGAATTGCTCAGAATGAAAGTCATGGATGGGTTCCAGTCTCTACCTGTAGAGGGAATGCTTACGTTGGTGAAATCACAAGTTGATTGAAGTATAATAGAAATTATTACAGTACACTCCTATCTTGATAAAATTTGAGTGACCCATTCATTCTAGGGTCTTTTTTTAAAATATTTTATTTTTCATGTATTTGTGTAAATGCCAGCTTAGTTTAAGTACGAACACTTTTGAAAATTGTCCTCTATTACGTTAGGCTTAAAGCAAGGGAGCATGTGCTCCAGTTTTTATCTCTTGCGCCTTTACTCGTTGTGGAAGCCACTTACATGCCTGTCTCTGCCTCAGCAATCATTTGTCCTTTTCTTGCAGCCCCTGTGAGATGTCACAATTCTGATATTCAGGAATGTCTAGACCCGAACAGAAATCCTGCCTTTCGGTATTCCAAACAAAACATTTTCTCTTATCCTTTTGATTATTGTATAACAATATCCAGAGCACTGAGGCCATTGAGACGGTTTTTCAGAGACTGATTTTGAAATTGAAACTCCAGACATTCTGATCTGCCAATTAGAAAGAAAACCTTTCTTTTTTTGGTCACAGAGTTTTGTTTTTAAAAATTAAAAATCTTTTATTGTATATTTTCTTAGGTACAGGATGTAGAAGCTGAGACTTTAACTGGGTTTTTGAGTGGCATTGAATGGATTCTTGGAGAAGTTGATTATAAACATCCACGGTGATCCTTCTCATGTGCACTGACTTAAGGAGTAAGCCATTTGAAATTTGGTTTTAAGGACATGATGTAGGTGTTTCCTCAAGCTTGCTTTGCCCTTTCCTGGGTTTTCTGCCAGGTGAGATTTAAATGGGCGTAGCTGTAATTGCTGAGTTTTCCAAGGTAAATCTAGCTTTAATCGTAAGTGAATTACAAAGGAAATGTATATGTGGTGGTACCTAACCCCCTCCCAGTGAATCTTTTTGAGTTTTTTTATGTTTTTTGATATTTTTATTTTAAATTTAAGTTTCTTTATTTTGCTGTCCATAAATTCAGAAATATTAGCACACTTGTACATTTTTGTACATTTGTTCCGAACTTTTCACTTCTGCTACTCTGTTGAGAGATTGTAATTTTAAGAAGTACCTGGTTTTCCAAGCTTTCTGGGGGCTTTCCTGAGGATCCATAAATCATTATCAGGGAAGAGATACCCAGTCTTTATGTGCTGCTTGGAAATAACTGGTTGGTATGGTTCCAGTGGTCACTCTTAATTCCATATACTAAATTCCTTGTGCTTATTGAACATTAGTGGAAGCAACTTTTCTTGGCAGATTTTTCTGATTTTTTTATAAAGTTGGAAAGCTCATGATGTACCAAACCCACATTCTATGTGATAAATGTGGAAAATATATTCAGGAGTTGTACCTGTATTCTAAACTTTTTTCATATACTGTTAATAGCAGTGGAAATTTAATAGTGTAATTGAGAGCTAAGAAATGTAAAGATTTTAATAAAAGTATAAATACATGCATTATTTATACAAGTGTAACATTTAAATGTGTTTTCTGATAGGAAAAAATTGGTACTTGAAATTAATTTTTATAAGCACCTTACCTAACTTCTCAAATAAATTTGCAGTCATTTTTCACTAATGAAATGAGATTTTGTCTCGTCAATTTGCTATGTTACCCAAAGCGTCTTTAAAACCCTAAGGCAGGAATATTTAACACACGAAAATTAGTGAGAGCAGTAATCAAGACGGAGGTGAGAATAAGGACTAGAAACTGAAAAATATGTTCATTCAGTCATTCATTGAATGACCATTTTGCCTGTACTCTGAACAAACAGTCTTCCAGATCAGGAGTTCTTAATCTCTTTTATGTCATAGACTCTTTGACAGTGTGATAAAGCCTATGGACTCCTCAAAATAATATTTTTAAATGCATAAAGTAAAAATACAGGATTACAAAAGAAGCAAATTATATTGAAATATAGTTATCAAAATGTATTTTTTAAAATTCATAGAACCCAGGTTAAGAATTCCTATTCTAGACATAGGGATATATAAAAAGATAATTATGACATAAAATAAAGGGCTGGAGTAAGTTACTCATCATAAGGAATGGTTTAAACTATTTTTATAACTCTTAATATGGCTTCTTCTCTGTTGCCTACTCTGGGGTCCAGGGCTTCTCTTCCCCTTTAATCCTCGTTTCTTATTCTGTACTCCCAAATCAGAATCCACTTTGTACTTGCCTTGGCTATAAGTGGTCCCTTGTGTCTAATATGAAATCCACTATAGTAGCTGACACATAGTTGTTGCTAGATGCATCTCTGTGCCCTATTCCATCTTCTTCATGTTAGTCAAAAGTTTTCTCCTTCAGTATAGACCTTGTCCCTGTACAGATTTTTATTGGAGAGTGAGAGCAAGAACATTTATCCTAAGTGGTACAAATATACAAATACAAATATACATGTTACAAATACAAGTATGCCATTGAATGACAAAGTTTGATAAATACTGATTCTAAATGACTGTGGATACCAAATGGGACTTTTTCAAAGGTCCCTGAGTAGTAATAATGGAATACTTTGAATTTGTTGAGAGTTACAGAAAAAAGAGGTACTTTTAAGTGATTTCACATCTATTTTCGTATTTTATTTTTATGGTATTTGTGTGGCAAGTAGATAGCTATTATTATCCCCATTCTACAGATGTAAAAGCAAGAACACAGAGGCTTACATTGTTTGCCTAAAGTTGACCACTTACTGAAGTGAAATGAAATTCTAGGCCTTATGATTCCCAGTCCATGGGTCCTTAATAGGCCAGTATAGGCAACTATGGCAAGGAATCCATTAAATGGCATCTGAAGTAATGGGTAGTCCTCTGCCCCTCCTCTTTATATGTATCCCCTATTTCCATTTTCTTTCCCTCTCCTTTCTCTTAATTTCTATATCTTACCTATTTTCCCACTCCTTTTATTTTTCTTTTCCCTTTGTTTCTGTTCCTTTCTCCCCCTTAATTTAATAAGGACTCATTAAGTACCTTTATGTACATGGCCCTGGAGAAACAAAATAAAAATGAAAAACAATCCCTTTCCTCAAGGAAGGGACATTCAATTGGATACAATACTTAAAAAGATAAATACATTATAAACATATGTTATATACTTGCATATATGTATACACACATCTATCTTTATATCCCTTAGACTAAATAGTGAAATTCTTGGAAGTTATTTAGTCCTAGTGTCAGCACTTAAAACGCAAGAGGTTACTAAAATCTTTACTAGATCATGCTGACATAGATAAATCTTATGACATTTATTCTTTGACTTTTAGCAAATGGTATGATATCTCTTTAGTCAGTATTTTGTTGCTATACAGGTAATAATCTTATAGTATATATTAGGTAAAAGTGATTCTTTCTTTTAAAAAAATGGACGAATTTTATTTTTATACCATAATTTCTCAATATATCCTTCTCTTCTCCCCAACTCAGAGACCCATCCCTTATTAAATAAAAAAAGAAAGAAAGGGGCAACCAGCACATTAGTTTATTCAAACATTGTGTGGTAAATGATTATTTCATAACCAACTAGTTGTTATTAGCTAACCCTGTGGCTGGCTAAGTGGAGTAATTTTCTTTGTTCCATGACCACACACCACATCCCTAACCACACTATAATGTTTGGAAGTAGTTGACCATAGGAGGACCTAGATCAGATGGACCCAGGTGAATTTATTATATGTAGAAAAATAATTAAAAGCACATCTCCCTGTTGTAGACAAAGACCTAAATACACATGGTCATAGCTAAATGCTGCACAATCATGATTAATAATTTACCTCTTTCTTAGACTGGAAGTCTTTATTTAACAGAAACTCTTAATTAAAATAAGGATGCTCTTCCTGGAAGAATGTTAATGTCGGTGGTCATTTATCATACCTAGGCAATGTATAGTAGAACAGAATTCTATCAGCTTAATCTTAAAACATGATTTTGTCATGTTACTTTCCATTCAAAATTCTAGTTGATTCTCTACTGCCAGTGGAGACCTGGGTCTTTAGAGAAAGTGGATTCAAACTTAAAGTGGCTACTATGAACATATGCTCATGGCTGCAATCAATAAATCACCAAGTATTAGGCTCCTATTATATACCAGTTACTGTGCTGTATGCTTAACATGAAAAGAAAAACAAAAGATTTCCAGCTGTCAAGAAGCTTATGTTCTACAGGGGGAGGTAATGTGTATATATGTGTATATATATGTGTATGTATTTGCAAAATCAATTCAAGGTCATGAAGTTAGGGAAGAGGCCCTAGCTATTAGGAGTATCAGGAAAGTTCTCATATAGAAGGTGGAGTAAGAGCTGAGCTTTGAAGTAACCAGTATTCTAAGAAGGGGAGGTAAGGAGGGAGTTTATTCTAGGAATGGGGAAGAAATCATGTGAAGTCACAGAGTTGAGAGGTGAAATGTTCTGTGAGATCAGCTGTAAGAGTAATACACACACACACACACACACACACACATACATACACATACATACTTTTTGTATGTATGTAGCTTGGAAATGTAGGTTGGAGTCAGGTGGTAAAGGACTTTAATGCCATGTGGAGGAGTCTCCCAGAATATGTTAAACACAAGACTGACATGGGCAGACCTGTGCTTTATGGAGAACCACTCTGGCCGCTGTTCGTAGGACAGACTGGAAAGGGGAGAGACTTGAGACAAGGAATTAGAAGGGCCTTGCAGCAAACTAGGGGAGAGGCAGTAAGGGCTCAAAACATGGTGTTCATGTGAGTGGAGAGAAGGCAATGGATGTGAGAGGTGTTGAGGTAGAATCAACAAGATTCAGCACTTCAGTGGATGAGGGAGAATGGATGGTTATGCTATTGACAGAAATAGGGAATTTCAAAAGGGTGGATTTGGGGCCAGAGGAAGGTAGATAATGAGTTCTATTTTTGACAAGCTTACTTAAGGTGCTGCCCACCGCAAAAATTCCACTGCCCTTTGTGTTGTTACTCCTGACTTGGATTTCTCCCCAAATCATGATATGTTTTGGTTTACAGCCACAGAGCAGGAACTGCTGATGTCAGAGTGATGGGCTTTTTGAGACGCAGCAAGCAGCCTATGCTTATTAAAACTACTGTACGTTTTCTCAAGTGCAGCCTACCTCCATCTCCTCTTCCATTCTAGGCCTAGCTCATGGTTCATGGCCTTAATGGTGACTTCTTACTCTAAATTTATGTTCCCATTATTTATTTCTTACAGTCTGGGCAACATGTGTTTTAATTTGCTTTCATTTACTCATTGACACTAGAACCATAGTCTTGTCCTCATTATTCTGGATTGCTATGTATTTGTTGTGTTCTTGAATTTGATGTAACTAGTGAAGTGTCATTTAGGCCTCGGAACATTTATGAAATCTTGCCATTAATAGAGAATCCTTTTATAGTTTGGACCTTTTACAGGACATCTCCCATGACTTTGGCAGATACCAAAGGAGAACATATGGCTCCCTGTTTTATACTGTACTTAATGTCAGTATTCAGCAGATCAGTGCATATAGTTGTTTCTATAGTTCCATTTGCCATAGAGGCTTATCTAGTTTTAATACTTTGTTGGAGGAGGCTGTCTTTTGTTCTACTAGGTTAAATGCTTTAAAAAAAAATCTGCAAGGAGAGTGGGAGATTTTGTTTCTCAGCTCTTCTCGGAGCCATTGTAATTGAAATGAAAAGCTTTTATAGAATAAATAAACAGTAGAGTAAGCCTGGTCTTGGTATTAGGAAGATTTGAGGTACAATCCTACCCTGGACATTTACTAGCTATGTGACCCTAGAAGAGTTTCTTATCCACTCTAAGCCTCAGTTTCCTCATCTGTAAAGTGGTCATAACACCTACTTCATAGGGTTACTATAGGGATCGAATTAGATGTATGTAAAGTACTTTGTAAACCTTACAGCATTATACACATATTAGCTACTATTTTTATTTCAATATTCCAGCAATTAATTCTTTGACTGTAAAGATGTGTTGTGCAGAAAATTGCCTGTGAATAAGCTGTGTATTTCTTTGTCATGGCCTTTTTTCAAGAGTAATAACCCTTGATAATCTTCATTAATTATTTTATAATATACCTTTGCTCTCTTATCATGTCCACCGATTTTTTTTTTGATTTATGTAATTTTTTGGATTCATGTAATTTGCATAAGTATGTAATTTGTATAATTTGCATAATCATTCAGTTTTCATAATTATTTTCTTTTGTGAATTGTGGTAGTAATTTCAACTGATTATTACTTTTAATTTCTTCTTTTTTTGGTCTGTAGAACAAGTTCTTACCAAACTACTACATGCTTGACACTTCATCCTGTTCTAGTCTCAATTTTAATTTTTTGTATTTTGGCTCTCTTGCTTTACTAACTCACTTTGCTAACATTTCCTTTTGTTTCTCCTTCTTCAGTCATACCTCATGTGTACATAAATCATAGTCATAGTTCCTGGTCTTAAAAAAACTATGCTTATAACAGTAACTTTTTTTAAAAAGTTATATTTCACCAGATCTACTAAACTGATGTGAAAAGAATGTTAAAGCACGTCAGGAAATGTGAGATAGCTAATTGTAAACACTTACCATCAAAGAATAC